ACAAGAGGGATGTGGAGCTGCTGGAGAGAGTCCAGCGCAGGGCTACAAGGATGATCAGGGGCCTGGAACATCTGCCCTATGAGGAGAGGCTGAGGGAGCTGGGCCTGTTCAGCTTGGAGAAGAGAAGGCTGAGAGGGGATCTAATCAGTGTATATAAATACCTCAAGGGAGGGAGTGAGGAGGATGGTACTGGCCTCTTTTCAGTGGTGGCCACTGATAGAACTAGAGGTAATGGCCACAAACTGAAGCACCAAAAGTTTCACAGGAACTTAAGGAAAAATTTCTTAACAGTGAGGGTGCCAGAGCACTGGAACAGGCTGCCCAGAGAGGTTGTGGAGTCTCCTTCTCTGGAGACCTTCCAAACCCGCTTGGATGCAGTCCTGTACCACGTGCTCTAGGTGACCCTGCGTGTGCAGGGGGGTTGGACTAGATGACCTCCAGAGGTCCCTTCCAACCTTAGGCATTCTATGATTCTATGATTCTATGACTCACTGACTTGGGCTTTTCCAGATTCTTTGATTTGTGAAGCAACTTACTAGTGAGCACAAAGGTTTGCTCCTAATCCCATAAGGTTGGACGTGTAAAATCATCATATGGAGAGCACAGTGCCTGTCCCCTTTCTCTCCCCTGACAGAGCTGTGCAAAATGTGCTCAGATAAACCCCTTGGTCTTGGCTTTGCTAGCATTTTTCTATGATACTTGGACTGTGTAGGCAATGCAAACTTTTTTTGGCACTCACAAACTCTATCAGTTTATTAGAAAGTAATTATATATGGCAAATTAATTTTAATGAATGAGAATTATGTTATATTTGAGAGCCATTTTAAGGGACGTAGAAATTAGGGCAGCAGGATTCAGTCTCTGGCTCTGCATGGCCTTGCATAGTCCCCTTTGCCACTGCATCTTCAGGTTCCCTGGAGACAAAATAAATGTAATAACATGCACCTAACTTTATAAAGTCAACAAGATCCTTTATAAAAACTGCTGGAAAACAATAGTTTTCCTATGATGTGAGGTATTAGTTTGAGGGGAAGGATCTGCTGAGTAGTTGGAAATCATATTTTAATAGTCAGGAGTTAATCCTGAATTCTGGCTTGTGAGATCTGTCTGTGTAAGTTCTGGGTGGGGTATTTTTATTTGTGTGGGTTTGTTTTTTTCCCTCAAAATTCTCAATGAAAAATAAATCTTTGATATCCATGGGGCGCATGGGAAAGCAAGGTGTGATGCATGCTGCTAATGTGTTATCTATGCAGTAGTGTTTCTAACATAGTTCCAGGGCAACACAAGTAGCACAATATGTGTTTTAAAATAACAGCATGTAATTTCAAATCCTCCAGCATTGCATTTTTTAATTTATTTTTTGGGCTGAGTTGTTCAGACCGCTTAGTACCTAAAGAAAAATGTGTCCCACATGCCATTATTTCCGCTATTTGGAAGCTGCAAACAAAAGAGGATTAAAAAGAAAAAAAAAAGGTCCATTTTAACCAATAAGGCACTGAGAAGCTTAGCCCAGTTTGTACCTGTTTTTCCTAGCAGTGTGACAGAGACACACAAGAAGTGTTGTTCAACTCAGCAGTTTAGTAATATCAACATCACACAGTTCTTGACTCTTCAGCTACCTGCATGGCGGCAGAAAAAGTGCCCGGGACCCTCTCTGGCACTCAGGCCACTTGGCACAGAATGGTCCGTGTCCCTGTTACTGGTTTCTTATTTTCCAAAGGCGGGTGGTAGGAAGCAGCTTGCCTGGTGTCCTTGCTGTATGTTGGCTCCTAAACTGCGCCACAGAAATCATAAGGAAGCATGTAAGCTGATCGAAGCCAAAGTCTTGCTTGGGGCATTTCTAACGGTTTAAAATGATAGAGGATCATTTTTCAGTGCCCAGGAACACTCATGAGCACTGCTTAATTACTATAGCTGCAGCCCTAGGAATTTTTGGTAGGATGCGGTGTTTGGTATTTTAGCTAATACTATCATTTTTAAATGTTTCATGTAAAATATTAAGGACAAACGGCAGTCAGAAGGATTCTGCTTTAGCTGAAGCACAAGAAAGTGAAGGGAGCTGCTACCTTGCTAACAACTTGTATTTCACCTCCATGCAAAGTTACCCCAAGCCCTCTTACTTCAAAACTCTTGCTTTAAAAGGTCAGAAAAGGCCAATATTTAGATTTTTGTGTGTAGCTTCCCTAGGACGAGCTCAAGCTTAAAATTACAGCCCGCTCTCCATTAGCTAGCTGCAGGACCACTTTTGGGACCTGCTCGAGGTGTTGAGTGGAAAGCAGTCTCAATTTTGAACATGTCAGAAAAAAAATCCGAGATAAAAAACCCCATGCTGCAAAATGTACAGTACCCTCATGCCATACCATCCTCCTGTGCCCTTTGGGTGCCAATACCAAGGGGAAAAGGTGGAAAAAAAAACAGGAATGCTAAAAAATACCTAGCAATTTAGAGACAGCCACAGAGAAGAAAAGGCACCAAAGCAAATGCTTTACACTGAAAATCAAGTTCCACTTCCGACCATCCTGCCATTCTCATATTCTGAAATGTAGGTCTGAGTTTCTCCAGTTCTGGTGGAAATTCTCTGTAAAATATTTTTGCATGGATTACAATGCCAGATGCAGTCACGGGCTGTCATCTTTGCCCAGGTGCGGTACGGTAATTTTTGCAAATGCCTTTGGGCTGCAGGATGTGATTAACTGCAAAAGACAGAGTTATTAAAACAGACTGGAGAGGAATGGGAAAGGCTGCTCTGAGCATCTCTGCATATCCCACTTCTTCCCAGCAAACATTAATGTGCATCTGTGTCTGAAGGAGTCTGCCTCCAGTTTCTTAGGGAGCATTTGATTACACACAAACCCTCCCTTAAGGAACTATAAAACTTCTTTACCAACATTCATTCTGTTTCTTGTGGACCTGTTTATGTTTCTGCAGTTGCAATACTCTAAAAACAAAACATTTCTGGCAATTGGGAGGCCTGCCATCTATTTACATCCCACTATTAATATGATCTGACATAATTGTCCATGATGAATCAGAGGAGGGAACTGACCTGCCTGAAAACTAACCTGCTAAAGAAAACTCAGGCTAACCATGCGGGAACAGCCCTTCTGTGTCTCGTGCAGCCACACGAAACGTGACGCTGCCCTGGCGCAGCCACGCTGCGGAGTGCTCTGCGGTTCCCCCCGCTGAACGGAGCCACTGAGGGAGGTATAAAGCACTGCTTCTCTTAGGCACAGCAGCGCTTTGTAACAGCCCCTGCCCCAGCAAACTCCTCATCCCAGAGGGGAACAGTAAGGAGCGTTTAACATTTTTCTGATTAATATTTATGGCTCTGAGCCACCCGTTGGTTTTACTCCATAATCAGTAGGGCCTCTGGAAAACTGCACAACAGGCTGGTGAAACATGAAAAGTTGTGATTCTTCAAAAACCAAAGAAAATGGCAGGAGGTTTTCCTCTCACCTAAGTTTCTGCAGTTTTTTTCAAAAGAGAACTCTCACTTGTGTTCATAAATAGAGACTTAAGGACCTGTCTATGTCGTGACCCACATTTGAAAATGTTTACCTTAGCATTTATATAGGCTCATTAGTGTGGCATTTTACAACCAGATTTGCGCTTACCTCTACAGTCTGGATTGTGCACCATTAACCCTGGAGAGTCCCTGGCTTGCTTTCACAGTAATTTGTCCTCTAAGTGCTGCCTTACAATGAATCCTGTATTTTAGTTTTTGAAATGGAAGTAAGCCTGGTTTTACTATGAGGTTGATGATAAGGATCTGAAAACTCTGTTTTTATTTCACCGGATAATGCCTTAGTTGAAGACACTGACCTGGAAGAACAGAGATGCTGGTGGGGAGGTGGGTTCCACCTCACAAAATACAAGTGTGAAGAAAAATGACTGACCGCGGGAATCACAGACTTTTATGTCTTTATTTGCCATTTAAGATCCTTTTATTCCATCGATGCAAATATGCAGAACAGCAGGAAACCATGTTTTAAGCAGCACATACCAGTTGGCTGAGAATAAACTAGCTACATTCCTCAAGCAATGTAAAACAGCATCTTCCCGGAGAAGAGACAGACAAATATTGCAGCCGAGAGGCACAGCAGGCAGCTTCCGTACAAAGTAGTTTGGCTATTTAAAATGCTAGAACCAGCCCTTGTCCGTGTCTCCAAACCCCAACCCCCGTCCCCAAAAGTCCTATGATAATTTAAACACTTTTTTCCTTTTTTTTTTTTTTTTGCTATCTACATTATATATAAAATATAGACTCTGGTTACTTATAACACTTATTTTTCTTGATAAATAGCTCTTTAAAATATCTACTGTACATATGTCCATGCGTTGACTTTTATATATATATATATAGCATTTATATATATGTATGTATGAAAAACAATAAATATATACTTAATATTGACACAGCAACAAACTGAACGTATTCTCATTTTTGAAAGCAACACAAAAGAAAGGCAGTACAGAGAGAAACCAGGAGGGTCAGGCCAAGCAGAGCAGGGTGCTCTGCTTCCCGCCCTGCTCCCGCTCCGCCTGGGCCAGCCCCTGAAGTCCTTGTGCTGTTAACATGTTCTGTAGTGACCTGGTGTCACAGGTCACTTCGAGTCAAACGTTAGCCGCCCTGTACGCCACGTGTAACACAGGCTGACAGCAACGCAACAGGGAACGAGAGAGACCTTGCAACGGAAAGAAGCACATGGGGACGCAAGTGAGTTTGAAGGACGGTGTAAGAAGAAAATGAAGTCTTTGCTAGCACATGGCTGGGAGGTCACAAATAATCATGGTAAACATGTCCATAGATTTAAGTGCTTTAAAAGACGATGGCTGGCACTGCCGCGTAAAGAATCCTGATTATCTCTAGCTGATGCCGTTGAATGAACCGGTTGTCGCCACATCGCAAGGCAGAACTGAAATCCAGCTGGGCAGGTTCAGAGGCTGGACCAGCCTCCCTGAACGGCACCGTGAGGCCCTGCTCTGAACCTGCCCAAGGCAGCCGAGCTAAACGGGCGCGTTTGAACCTCCCGCTGGGACTCTGCAGAGCGTGAACCTCAACAACAGCAATGAAAAATCCCAGCGCCTTTCACAAATACCAAAGCACATAAAAAGTGGAATTTTCTCAACTTTCATTTCAAGATAGCATTCTTTAAAATGAAAAAAAAAAAACTTCATTCAAAAAGTCTTTCAATTAATTGAAAATACAAATAAAACCTGTTGCAGTTTGACCTAAGTTGATGCCCTTCATTCCCCCACCCCCATGCTCGGATTTGAAGTGTTCCAAGAAGTCAATCCTTGTCTTGGCCCTGGCTTCCCACACTCAGTAAGTGCAGCAGTCATGAGGTTATGACATCAGTTCATGAATGCAGCATTATGTATGGTCCTGTCTCCTTAAAATTCCTTCTTCTAATGAGCAAATGGAATGGGGCAGTTGTTGTTAGGGGAAATTATTTATACTGGATGGACTTCATCCAGCAGCTCAAGAAAGAGGGAATTATAACGCTGACAGGACTGGCAATTATTACTCAGTCATACTTCATCTCTAAAATGTACAAACTTCGCTTCCCAAATGTAACTTTGACAACAACAACGACGACAACACGAAGAAACTGCTGTCCTGAACAAGCCTGCCATTTCACAACTAGTCCTAAATACCCATAGAGCACTGCAGAGTTCAAACAGGCAAGTGCTGAGTTTCAAATATGCTGAATATCTGCACAAATCCAATAGTTTGATGCGTGGTTTTCAAAAAATGAACAAAAAACCATATCATTTGTGATGCTTTATACTAGGGAAAATAGATAAAAACTAAGTTTCCAGTAACAAGAACTTCTGTCATTAGCAGTTTCAGGATGTCCACAAAGACATCATCAAGCTACTAAATTTATCTTTGACTGCACTGCCAAGACGGCTGTTCCCTCGTGCCATCGCTGTGATTCCAAAGTCATCCAAAAGAAGGAAACATTAAGTCTAAAGTGGAGAGTGCCTCTGATTGCCCTGTCCCATGAGGAATCCAGGCAGGATTCCTCATGCTTTCAGCCAAAGCAAGGGATGAACTCCACAGCGGTGCATCCTGCACCTAAACTCCTTACGCATGCCCTGATTCTCTGCCGCACTGGCTGCAAGGGTAAGGACGTATTACCTCTACCAGCTATTTGCCAACTATACAACTAAAATGCTACTAACCTGACACATGCATGACATTAGATACAGGAAACCCCGCAGCTCTTACCGAGTTTGCAGGCATCTATGCAGGACTGCAGTGAGCCCAGTTTTGACGACCCACCTGCGTGTGGCGGGAGCGCAGGACGGATGCTGCTCCCCGGGACAGGGCTGCCCCGTGGGCTCCTGAAAACGGAGGCAGAAGCGTCCCCAGTGCCGGGGCAGCCCCTACCCCTTGGGCAAGCAGCTTGTTCTGCCTGTGGGTGCGCGTGGGCAGACTTGCCTGCGGACAGAGCTGCTTTCCCCTCACCGCTGCTGCTGCTGTTCCCCTTTGAGAACATGGAAGGATTTCAGTTGCGCCCTGCTGTGGCACAGGGACATGGTGAAGGGTTGCCCTCACCTTGGCCTGGAGCCCAACCCAATTCCTACTGAAAATCAGACAGTATCTCTCTCAGCTCAATGCCCTGTTGTCTCTGCCCTTTTTGTCTTTGGTAACGGGCCATTACGTTGAGTATCCCAGATGCACCGGTATGTGGCAAAGGAAAGAGCCTCTCCAACATTCCCCTAGGAAGAGGAAGGAACACTTCTTATCTAGTGTATGAACCAGTTCGTTTTGGGGCCACTGGAAATTCCAGCAGTAGCCTCTGCTTGGCTATTAGGCCTACACCCACTCTAGCAGTATTCATCTCAGATCTTGTGGCACAGCATTAAAGAACAGCATTAAAAGTGCAGTTCCAAATATATGTTGCCTGGTATGGTGCCACTTTTGATTTCATCTCTTTTAGCTGCTGCCCAAATTCGTAAACCCAGCGTGATCTCCAGAGGCTACTTAGAGTAATTCAATGTACTTCCAGCTGTACCAGAAGAGCAGAGACCTCGATACTGCCAAAAAGATCCTAGAGCATAAGGTAGCACGTTATCAGAATAGTAATACACATTCTAAAAATAAACCAGTTCCTCCTCTTCTGCACCAGGTGGAAATTTAGTGTCTTTACATCTGACACTTCACCGGCTTTATGCCCTAGAGAATGGAAAAACTGTCATGCAATCCTCAATGTATGCAGTTCCTGCTGCTGTCCCAGTTACATCTCCTCCTGAACCCAGCATAAGGTCTACACTGCTGCCAAAAGAGGAGGTCCCACCCTACCCCTTCTCATCCTGGCTGCCTCTCTGGGGCCAGCACTGCTGTCACCCAGTGAGCTGCAAGGGCGATGACCCATTTGGAAGGTGGCACTTATACTGGCATCAGATGCAAGTGTTAGGTTATCTTTGCACTAAGCAGCAAAATCTGCATCAGTAGGTTTGCACAGAACCTAAGCCTTGTGGATCTGGGGCAGCAAGGTGGAGGTGAGCAGCAGCAGCAGCGCTTTACACCACGTTTCACCCAGGCAATGCGCACCGCAACTGTACGAGCGGGTTCGGTTCCAGCACAGCTTCTGCCCGATGAGCTGGCATCACAAAGAAACAGAAGGATAGAGGGAAAAAAGTGAAAATACACATGGGGAAAACTGTCAATGTTTGTGAAGCAAAATGAGGTCTGAGGGCATGAACAGCAATTCCTGGCACAGTGGCCAAATTGCTCATCTGCATGACACTCAGAAATGCTTCAGTCCACATTTAGTTCCAGTTTTGAAAGATGTTTAACTAGACATGGTTAATTATCTACTGGACATGCAGTCATGATTTGAACTTGCCACTGTTGTCAATAAAGGGTTTTGCCTTACAATATGAAGTCCCCTTGATCCCTCTGGGGCTAATGCCATTTGTCGAGATGAATGACTTCTTGATCAAACTCTCTTCTGTAGCTATCCATGTGTTTTTTCAGGGCACAAACTGCATCTCACTGTATGCCATTACAGTTGTAACACACCCATAAATTAGGGGAAGGATTCTATTTTCCTAGTTTTAGCTGTCTATATATTTAAAAGCCATCTCAAGCAAGCACCCAAGATCCTTTATACAACTAAAAGAGAAGGGCTGACATTTCCAATGGATACTTCCTTCTGAGTCAACCCTTGAAGATTTCTCCTTGCATTGACTAGTGTGTCATTGCACAAATACTGGGGGTGAGATACTTGACTTTCAGCTGGCTCAAGCCAAATGAGATTAACCACAATACTGATGACTGCCCGTTCAGAAACATGCAGCACTCAAATGGGGAGTGCCACAGACAGGAGCACACAACAATCTGATGGCATCATTTGCAGGAGCTCTACAGAAGCCCTTAGGGCTCCTAAAAATAGAAGAACTAAAAGTGCTGTACAAAAAAAATCTGAAATATTCTGCTTGTTTTCTTTCTAACCTGAAATGACCACAGTAATCTGATGGCCTCAAGAAAGAAGGTTATATTTTCTCTCTTAATAGCTACTGCTCAGTCAAATGTTTTCTTCTTGCCTCTAGTCAAAATTAACATCAACAAAAAAAGTTTTGCTCAAGTTTAACAGAATTGAGTGCTATATGCTTGACGTACTATTTTCCGTGCGATTTTTGTATCTGAGAACCTAACGCTGTAAACATTTAAGCATAGCAGCAGTTTTATGCAGAAAAGCAATATCCCAGTTTACTGGCATAATTCATGTGACTTTCACTATATTCTTTCAAGACTGCAATCTAAAATATTAGAAAGAAGGACAAGAAAAAAACATACCAAAAGGATTTTTGCCACCCTTGCACAGATGACAGGGAACAATAAGCACAGTACCAGTAGTCATTTAAAGTAGGTAGAGGTGGGGATCTTTTTTTTTTTCCTCTGTGAGTAGATAGGAAGTTTTCTCATCCCTTGCTTTTCTTTTTTTAATCACACTCACCTCTTGTGGGAGGTGGAAGCTTTTGGGTTGAGATATATGAAATAAGGTGTTGGTGGGTATCAAGTGTAAGTTCATAAAGATTTAAAGGAACACCGACTGTCTAAACATCGTATTGTTTGGTGGGATTTCTACTGGTTTTTGTTTTCCACTAAAAAGCAGAATGCGAGATGAATTCACTCAAAAGTCAGTCCCAGACACATAGTAAATTGTGTAAACTTTCAAAAGACTAACCTGAGTTCAGCTGTGTAGTAAAACCCCATCATTGTGACTTTATCCTTCCACCTGCTGTTCGTGAAGGTTTTACACAAGCCATTTTAATCAGCAAATCTGTACAGTTAACATTGAAGCTTACCATGAGCTGGTAGGGAACCCTCCCTCCCCCAGTAAGAGGGCAAATGTGCTGTGGTTGAGGGCTGCTTCCTTTGTAAAAGCCACATTTTTTCCAATGTAATTGTGCTTTAAAAAAAAAAAAGAAGAAGAAGAAAAAAAGAAGATAACTAAACCAACACACAGAAGCTCCTCACAAGCTATATGAAAAGTGAGCTGCCAAGATTTTCTGTATCACACCACACACTTACACTAAGTCCTATTATTCTGAGTGTTGGTTAAAGATGTAGTAGCATAGCATGGTGGTGTCAGCTGTCATGGTAGGAACCATTCATGTCAGACACTACAGAAAACCTGATGACATGACAGTACCTTCACAGCCCTCTGGTAGGTAAGGAAAATCTAAAAGGATCTTCCCAACCTTTCACAGTAAACACAATTGGATAATCTAAAGCACCTGCAAGCAGGAGACGAGTCCATGATATATCTTGCTAATCAGCCGGTTAATACTGTTATTAAAACAGTTAATGTCAGCTCTTAACTCTCCTATCTATTCTGGGCATCTCTTAGAACGTCACCACTTTGGTATTTAGCTGTCAACAGATTTAGTTGATCCAAACACCGAATTTCCTCCTCAGGTGATTTTGAGATGCTCAAGCGCTTCCCAAGGGCTGCGTTACCCTTTCCCATAAGAGCTTTCTGGTTCCTGTTCTCTCCGAGGAGCCGAGTGGAGCTAGCAGTACAGAGACATCCTGCTCTTACGCATGGCTTCGCTGATCAAGTACGCAGGGCTCAGCTCGGGCTCCTCAGTCATTATTGAAATGTTCTGCCACTCCCCCAGCTGGTTGGACTTTTTAATGGTGTCCACCACACACAGGGCATACAGACAGTCGTCAAAGGTGGCGGCCATTGTGAGGGGCCTCCCGTCCCAGGTCCTCCTGTCGTCCTGGTCCTCAAATGCCTGCCGGACGGCTTGAACCATCTTGATGGTGCCACGGAGGTATGGCGACGGGATGTCACTGAAGGCTTTCTCTGGAAGTAAAGAGTTACTGACTGGCGTGGAGTCCTTCAGCAGGCGCTCCCTCTGAGGAGAGCTGTTGCTCTGCCCGTAGAGATCAGTGCCTATCACAGTCAGCCGGCCCGCCGAACCGACCACAATAATGTCTTGTTTGAACTCTCCGGGCACGTTGAAATTGAGCGTCACCGTGCAGCACACACCGCCTTCCAGAACCATCTGAAACGTACAGAAGTCATCGCTGGTGATCTGCCGTATCCCCTTGATGTGGTCCGTCTGCTTGACGAAGGTCTTGAGCAACCCATGCACTTTCACGGCCTTCTGACTGGTGAGGAAGGTCAAGAGATCGATGATGTAGGTGCCAACCGAGTGCAAGCCCCCGCCGCCCATCAGGTCGTCACAGCTCCAGTTGTACTTCTTGCCCAAGAGGCTTCCACTGTGAACCTGCACCTCACACACCAAGAGCTCCCCCACGTAACCCTCCTGGATCAGCTGCTTCATCTTCACAAAAGCAGGCAGGAAGCGCAAGACGTTCCCCATGATACTCATGAGCTTCGGGTAATAGTGAGCTGCGGTCATCATCCTAAAGGCATCCAGGGGAGTCGCTGTTCGGTCACAGATGACATTTTTTCCAATGCCTGAAAAACAGTTAAAATAAGAATCAATTACAGCAATACATTGACTGAGTAAGCTCAAAGCCTCAAGGCTATTCTTAAAGACTAAAAGGAGAAAAGTTGCTGAAAGAAGAAAATATTTCAATATGGTGTTGCAGGCACAAAGATGCCCTCTAGCAAAATGTACAGAACTCCCTGGAGAACCGCAGTGAAAATGTGTCCCTTCTCGTTGGAGAAATGCACCTAAGCCTAGAAGCTACCATGAAAGCAAGGGCCTCGGCAGAGCAGAAAACAAGCTGAGGTGGGAACAGGCACAAAAGCAACCCCCATGACTCAGCCATCCTGCTGTCATGTTTCTTCTGTGATAACTTGTCTGTGTGAGGACAATGTGTAACGTGCAAGAGTTGAAGCCGAGCTCCAGATTCAGCTTCCTGAATGAGTAACACAAGCTCCCAGCAGCAGTAATTTCACCTAAGTGCACTGAGAAGTCTGGGATTCTCTTGTTCCTTCACCCTTCCCATCCAGACCTTTTAACAGATTCTGAGCGGGGACTGGATTTGTTGCATGACTTTTTATCCTTAAGAGTCATGTTATTCTCACAGAGGCAGAAATTGCATTCGAAGGAGCTCTGCTGAAGCTGAAATGTCAACAGCATATCAAGAGTATCAAGGGTGAGGCACGACCGCTCTAAAACATCAAACACGCAGCTGTGGGGACCGGTTCCACACGGTATTGACTGTGTGCGCGCGCTGCCTGCCCAAGCTGCTGTTTCATCAGGCCAACAAGGTGTGCAAGTGAATGCAGTGGAGGCTGCCACACCTCCTAATGGTTTTGTTATTGATTTCTCCTTGACAAATACTTTGGTTCTCTATCCCTGCGCACATATAGTGACAGAAAAGCCAACCAGCCAAGTCCTATAAAAGCCACTGGTGTGCATGGAGCAACAGAGTGTGACAACAGAGCAAATTACTTCCCACCTTTGAGGTTTAGCATTAGTTATGCGAGACATCTGTCACTAGCACGAAGGAGTGGTGACAGAGGATAAAAGAAAAAGACATAATTTTATAGTTGTATAGATTTCTTATGCCTGCTGAGCAGTATCCGGTGACCTATTCAGCACCCTGTAACACTAAATACACCCTTTGCTTGAAAGCGCAGGGCTACAGCTGGCCGTAGCACTCAAAGGATCTGCATCTGGATCCTGTCTCCGCTGGAGTCTAGATGAATAAATCCAGCTAAACTCACTAAATCTCTGTGTGTTTTGATTCCCTTTCCTTTAAGATAGATGACTAATTCCGTTTTTTTCTTAAAGGGCTGTTTTCGGAGATAAAATTTTACATGTTTCAGAGCTCTCAGAAAAAGTCACATAAATACAGACAGATGGCAGGGATCTGCCTGAGACCACTTGCATGAATATTTAACAGTCTGACTGCGGGAAGAAGGAGGTCACAGTGCAAACATTCACTAACGAGTTTCTACACACTTTCTATTCATAGTCTTTGTCTGCTGCTATTTGAGTAGCTGAAACTGGAGGGAGGGCTGGCACCATTGAAAAGCAGTTGCAACTAGTACCAGACTAGAAGTGAAAGATCTTCCTTCAACTTGCTCCTATTCACCTTCTACATAATCACTTAAGCAGAGACACACTCATTTTCCTCATATATTAGGCAGGCATCCTCTATTCAGTAGCCATAGTTCTCCTTTCTATCGTTTCTTTTTTGTCTTTACAGATTGATACTGTGACTGAGCCAACATTTTCGACCTCATAGCCCTTCTTTTTCTGCTCCTGAGTATTTTTTTTTCTGCGTTTGTTTGATATCAGAGAATGTATTAATCCACCTGCCCTATATTACCTCAATTGGTAGCCCTCACTATGCTACTTGGTATAGATCCTAATATCTATACCAAGATCCTTGCAGAGTTATATAGGTGCTTTGCAAAGAGATTCTGGCTTAGCAAACTAATTCGCTAAGTAGAACAAATGTCTTTGAGGACAAATACCCAAACAGTTAGACATAACAAGACGTTTTTTAGGGCAGCTAAATCCTCAAGCTATGCTGCAGCATGGGAATGTGAAAAGAAATTCTAGATATTTCTCAGTTTCTTCTTTATTTCTTGCGCTCACGTTTTCTTTACTCTTTTCTAGAGGTTAAGGAGGTGCTGTTACATACTCAGAGTTCTGCTTTTCTCTCCATTTGTGCCTGCAGTCCAATCTCCCCTGAAATACCCATTTCCGCCCAAATAATCCATATGTGCGATGCCATCATCTGCTCTGCTCACCACTGAGCCAGAAGGGAAACTTTCTGCTCCAGTTCAGCCTTTAGCCCTGTGCCTCACAGATGCCTTTTGCATTTTATCCGGGGTCCGTGCAGGCAGCAATGTCTCGGCATACGCAGCTCTCCATCGTGCTGTGCTTTCCCTGGGAAGTGTCTGGAGCCTGGGATGTCCTTCCTGTCGTGGCCCCAGCGCCGAGCACCGCAGCTGCTCTGCCACTGCCCGGGGGTGGCAGGGGACACTTGGTCCTTTCAGAGCCACCACTGTGGGTTTTCACGCTGCTTACGCTCCAGAAAAAAAATGCCACCAGGATCAGCGCAAGCCAGGCATATACACAGCAAAAATGGAGGAGCCCTAAATATTTGCATAAAGAGGGCGAAAAGGCAAAGCCTTCTATTTACTCCTTCCCTCATTTCAACCTTCACAGAGATGCTGGAACCTTTTAATGATGGAAAATCCAAAATGCAAATGTCCTACGAGCCTTCCCATCTCTGGGCACCTGCTGATAGTGCATGCTGTGCTCTCATCTCGGTCGGGGATTTAAGCAGATTTTTGCATAGTGCCCCGAAAGCTTTTATACCCGATTAGAGCTTGTGCAGGTTCTTTCAGCATGACACTATTCAGCGCCCGAGCCTGTGCACACTGCAGATCTTTGTCCTCTCAGTAGCTGCAGATCTGCAAGCAGCCAAATTAGCTTCCTCAGAACAGGGAGAGTACATGAAAGGTTTGCATAAATTAATTTAGAGAAATGCTCTGGCATGTTTATGCAACTAGAATAAGAAAACAGGAGGATGAAAATATCATCATTTTCTGCTCTCCTCCCTGTGGTCCCTTCTCAAGGAACACAACAAAAAAAGGCACCAGCCCTTTGACCAAAGCAGCTCCAGGCAGTGTGTGGCCTCTTTCCATATCGGCGGACTCATGCAAACATGTGTCTCTGACTGCAAGCTCTGAAGCGGGACCCCTTGGGAATTAATCCAGGCACAGTATCGGCTTCCTGTTCCCCCTGGCCTAGGGTTAAGGTCTAATCTGGTCCAATTTTAGATAAGATTCTCTGCTAAAGGGGCAACTGCTACTGCTTGTCATTTTAGTAACATGTGTTCCTGAACTGGTACCAGTTTGATCCACACTCCTTTGAAAACCACAGCACATAACGGGAACTTCACTGACTACATAAAAACAGGAAAAGGCAGTCATCTTGTTTCAGCAAACAGTGCAATTTTTACTGATGATGATAAGCAACAGACTCAAACACATCTTGTTGTATGAAAAGCTACTTATCCCTCCCAGATTCATCAAGAAATCCAGCCTAAGATGCTACAGATCTCAGCTGAGCAAGTTCTGAGTCTTTTCTTCTTGAGTTCTTCAGTAAAATGACAAACAATAAGTTTTAAATTTAAATAAATTATGCTCTCTTTAAGTGCTTAGCACAGCCTTCACCCTAATCTGTGTGACTGGCTGTGCTCCAAATCAAGTGGCAGCCGTGGGGTAAACAGTATGGCACAGGAATAGGGGAGGGCTCACCCCAGGCTAGCCCCAAGCCAAAGCTGAAGCCAGGACAAAACTCCACAGAATGCAATTTAACTCTCTCAAGCCTCTCAAGCTGCCACACAGGGCATCCATGACCTATAATGTCCTTGTGATGGGTGTAGTAAGCACAATTCCTGGGCCTACAGCTCAGGCAATGTGCAGCTGTTGTAAGGGGGGAGGCTTCGGCAGTGTTGAAAACTGCAGCGTCAGCTATTTTCCACTTGGTCTAATTACTTTAAGCAAGGACAGCCGCTCTTTAATTGAAAGAATAATTAAAAAGGACACCCAGACTGGAGCAAGACTAGTCCGCTATCTGTTGCTCAGGCCAAAAAGTGCCAATATGTTATTTTCTCCTCCTTCTATTCACAAGAAAATCAGAACGGGCTTTATCTGGAGTCTGGGCATATCATCAAAAACTTCGCTGTCACCATAAAGCTTCATCAGTTACCAGTCACCACCTAGTGCTCTTGCTAGGAGTGAGAGTGAGAGAAAGGGGAAAGTGAGGTTTTGATGAAAAACTGCTGAATTCGTCAGTAGGAAAATGCATTTTTAAAGCTGAAGAGGATCTGTTAATGCTCAAAGAATACTCTGAGAGTTTCAGCAATTACAGGAATGGTGGAAGAAAATGTGTAACAGGTTATTTCAAGTGGATTATTTTAGACATATCAGATGATCGTATCTTTTAAAAACCCATTTTTATTTTAAAAAAGGAAGCTAATAAAAATTACCTTCCAAATGGTGTCTATTCACATCCTGGTTGTTATGAACTACTAATACAATTCCAATAAATATGGACAAAGATTCCTTCTTATATTACAGTCATTACAGCAGCTTTTGTTGCATTTGGATCCTATGCAGAATCATCGCTGACACTGGGTTCTGTCCAAGGCTTGCAAACTGCGCTGCAATGAGATGTGCTGCGTTATTGCTCTACATTTTATTGGTTGTAATCAGATATGTAACGTATGCAACCAGACCACAGTTTCAATTCCAATGCAATTGGACATGAACTGCAAATAAACCCAGTAGCATATACCACATGAATGAGATACTTCTCCTGCATCTTTTTTTTTTGTTCAGAATTACAAATCTGAAAAAATAGGATGAGATATACAACTGCTTTTACAAATGTGCACAAGTCTACACACAAAAATACCAAATTTACTTAAAAGGCCAGACCTCACTGCAAATCTGTGGTTTTGGCTATACTGATAATAGACC